TATACTTGTTTGGATAATTTTAGTTTAGTCATTGAGCAATAATCAAAATTATCTCTCAGACAGTGACTTTCACCCTGTCACCGAGATAAAGCAGAACTGTGATAATCAACAGGAAGCCAGCACCATCAAAACACATCCCGTGAATCTAGTGATCATTGAGTTAAAATTGGGTGCTCTGCTTTACTTAACAATTTCATACAACACCGTGAATGTGTGATTTGTAAAGGATACTAACTTCTGACACCTCAAACCCTTCTTGTGGTGCCTTGGCACTAATTATACGTGTACTTATATTAATAATATATTATTTGATTTATTCTTCTTTTGCATCTCTCATGTGTTTCTTCCCATTTCAATCACAGCAGTGACATGACTGACAATGAGTAAAAGATAAAGTTACACCGTTTGACATGTCAGAAACTCCCAACACCTTCAATAGTACAGACTGTACTACTTTCCTGTAAGCCCTTTCTAGTGTTCAGTCTTCCCATGTGTCATAAAATCATAAACCACATCTTAAGGAATAAGGCAATGATGCAAGTTATCATGTTGAGTAGGCCATGTGGGGAGTCTTTGACATATGCGTGTTGTGTCATATCCAAGACTGAGTCTAAGGGGTAGCTGTTTCTGAAGTTGGTAGGATGAAAATTGTCACATGATGCATTTCCTCTGTCACGCTGGCACTGTAACCCCATTTCCCCAGTAGACAAAATATCTGTACCTGCATCTACAACTGGTTCTCATATGATGCCTTCCTGTCCCATCTGCTTTCCTTGTTCATACAGGTGAGTGTTCAACCGACTTTTACTGAGATTTATGAGGAGACGTGCTAACCTTATGATCATATTTTTTACAGTTTTACTATTGACTTGAAATGGGCCTAAACTACACCACGTGTCAGTTGTTTAATACTTTTTTTGTTTGTTTTATTTTCTTGTATTTATGTTTGCTTTTAACGGTGAACAGTAAAAGCACTTTGATCAACATGTTGTTTTTGGCTTAAACCAGGAAAGTGAAAGATTGCCACCATGTGTTTTTCTTTCTTCTTTTTTTCCCCCCGGGCATTTTTATTCCGATTTTTAACACATACACACATCCAGCACACAGTGGCCACACGAACTAAACATCTGACTTAGCTACAACATTAGTATAATGTAGGCTGCATACAGTAACATGGCATACCCGCAGATATAACTGCACACTCACATAGATAGGTTATGTTGTGAAAGTATAAATATAAAAACAGTAGGAGCGGCTGTGGCTCAGGTAGAAGAGCCGGGATTCTAAAAGTCGGGTGGTCGAAGGTTTTATTCCCTGCAGTCACAGTTCAGTCAAGGTGTCCTTGGTTTCTGAATTTTAAATTGCTCCAGGTGCAGTGTGTGTGTGTGTGTGTGTGTGAGAGAGAGAGTATTATCGTGAGGCCTTTGGATGAGAAGCGCTGTTTCGCTCCTAATAAGCTGTTCGTGTGTGAATGGGTGAAGTGTTGGAAAGCCCTGTGAGTGGTAGGCAGACTACAAAACACATTATAACCCAAAATTTTGCTTTTCGTCATTATTGCATTATTGCCAAAAATGTGTCACTGTTATCATCCTGATCACTTTTAATAGTGTACTTTCCATTGTGTAACTTCCAGTAAAAATTAAAATGGCTGAATGTGTCTGCTGATTTCACCTCAGTTTGGTTTGTGGTAACTCCCTAAACTACCTCTTGTGCACAATGTGTAAGAGAAAGTGTTTGCCTTCTTTCTTCAGGTTGAAACATTAACTATCTCGCAAAGACGAAATTCAGTTGAGCCTCACCTCCCAGTTTAAGCTTTTTACAATAGAATCATTGGCAGAACTGTGGGTCTATATTTTTACATGTGTTGTTTGTACACTACAACTACCCAGAACGACAGTTGACACTTTTCACCACAAATCAAGCATGTCTTTTTCCTGTGTGAAAACTCCACCCAACACATGCGCTGCTAGCCCACATGCAACAACATATAGTAAGTCAGTGTGACTGCTGCTGGATCTGTTTCAAACCTTGACATCTATATGTTTTGCACATGCAAAAAAGGAAAGATTGCATTCTGTGGCATACATTACTCTGGACAAAGTATTTTATTGTTAGGTACATGTGGTATGGTGTATTTGTGATTCAAATATTGCAAAACAATTATACCACAATGATATGCATACATCAAAATGTATTGCCTATAATATTGCTTTATTTCCACCAGTATTTTTTATGAAAAATGTACCCACCACAAGTCTTTGTTAAACCCTGGCACACAGGTGATGAGAGGCCATTCCCATCCAATCATGACGGGGAATTCCAGCAGCCCTGTGCTAGACAACGCCACCCTTGCCTTGTTTCAGGACATAAACACCAGCATTGCCATCTCTGTCATCTACATGATAGTCACTGCCATTAACCTGGTAGGAAATGGCCTTTCCATGTGGCTCCTCCTCTTCCGTACCTCCCCCAAGACTCCCTCCATCATCTTCATGATTAATCTCACCCTCACCGACTTGGCCGTTGGCGCTGCCCTGCCCTTTCAGATTGCCTACCAGCTCAAAGGATACAACTGGAGTCTGGGGCCCATGATGTGCAGGTATTCTTTATGGTTACAGAACAATGGTAAAGTATTGCTGTAGGATTGGTGTTAACAACAGAGATCTACAGAAAGTTGAGAGAAAGTTTTTACCTTGTTTACCTTGTTTCTCAGGCCAAACCTTGTTTCCACAGCTACTCGGTGTACATCCACAGACCAAGAGTTTGACATTTTGAAAAATATGCTTATTGGCTTTCTTGCTGAGAGTTGGATGAGAAAAAATCTGATCAATACCACTCTGATATCTGTTTGTTTAATATAAAGCTACAGTCAGCAGCCAGTTAGCTTAGCTTAGCTTCAAGACCCTAAAAAGGCAAAACAAAAGTAATAAAATCTGCCAAAATGTCAAACTACTCCTTTGATGATGACTTTGTTTTAACCAGTTATTGAACAAAACACTGTTCTTCTATCTATCAATCTATAGTTTCCAGACCCTCGTCTTCTACACCAATATGTATTGTTCCATCCTGACCATGATGGCCATCGGAATTGACCGCTACCTGGGAATCGTCAGGCCCATGCTATTCAGGGAGACCAGGGAGAGGAAGTCCATAGCTGTCATCAGCTGCCTCCTCATGTGGGGTTTGGTCCTGAGCGTTCTGTACCCACTGATGACCACAGACCTGACCTTTGACATTCCTGAACTCGGGATTACCACATGCTTTGACATGTTGAAGAAAAACATGCTCCCGAGCCAGTCAGCCTGGGCTGCCTTTCTCTTCACCATGGTGTTTGCCCTCTTCCTCTTCCCTTTCTGTGTCACAACATTCTGCTATGTCAGTATCTTACACAAACTAACCAGAGATTCAAAGACTGCCCAGAAAGAGAGAGCGATACGTCTGACTTTCGTTGTGCTCCTGGTCTTCACCCTCTGCTTCGCTCCCAACAACATCCTCCTGTTGAGTCATACTGTGATGAGAATCTTCTATGGTCAGTCTCTCTACATGGCCTACAAACTGTCTCTCTGTTTCAGCAGCCTGAATAGCTGCCTTGATCCATTCATTTACTACTTTGCTTGCAAGGATTTTAGACAAAAGGTGAGACAGATAATGAATCTGCAAAGCCTGACTAGTGGGGACTCAATGAGGATGGAGCATAGAGAGAGTTTGTATTCGGCACATTGCACTTTCGAAGGTCAAGAGAGAGAGCATAGCAAGGTGTCTTTGATGCCACAGTAGACCACAGAATGGAGCGACAGTAAGAATAAAATAGATGTGAGAAAAGAAGTGAGAGAAAAAGTGTGTGTTGCCCTGAGTGTGTCAAACGTTTGCAATGTCTTTTCTTGGCTCAACATTCAAGATAATTTTTTTACATGTATTTTTATGTGCGCCACAAATGATTATCGACAGCAGCTGAGTCACTTTGCACACTTCATTATTATTGCATTATGTTATGTGTTATTTTAAAGAGTGAAAAAAATGTTTATTGTATATGTATTTTATTATCTGCCACAAGCTTCTTAACAGTTTTTTTCTGTCAATATATGTAGCATGCACACGTGTAGATAAAGTGTGAATGAAATCTATGTATTGTATATATTATATAGCCTTCTCTGCCCGAACATAGTTGTACTTCTCTGTAAATCACAGTGTACTGTGTGACTGGGTATAGACCTTTTCACCTTATATGGGAGAAATGGACAGAAAGTCCTCCTATTCTTATGTTCATTTTCTTTGTTTTCTTACTCTACAAAAATAAAATTATTATTATTATTATTATTATTATTATTATTATTATTATAAGTAGTAGAAGCAGTTGTAAAAGAAGTAGTAGCTGTATGTGGCACTTGCCGGCTGGGAATGCGGGACTGGCTAGAAATGGAGTCAGAGGATAACAAAGTTAGAAACGAGGGCATGAGGATTAGAAAATTAAAAAGAAAAGGAGGAAGAATAGTGTGTTTCTATTCAGACAGACAGTGAGTGTTGGAATGTTAGCTGTGACACCAACAGATAGATTTTCAAGCATCCACATGAGGTCGGAAAGTTTGTAAGAGGTAAAAGTGGTATGTTATCACTGATTGTGTCAGAGAGATAGAGTCCTAAACCTTTTGTATTTGAGATTATAGCAGTGTATGGCAGAAAAGGAATGGAGCTATCAGAGTATCTGCTTAGACATAAAGCAATTTGGCCAATTGTGTCATTGAAATACTGTGAAAATAATGAGAAACTTTGTCAAAATAATGATTAATCTCATTGTTTTGTAATAATAAGTTATTTTGAGATACTATATCATTGTTTTAAGAAAGTTTCTCATTATTTCAATAAAGTAGTCCTAAGTCATTATTTTGATATAATTAAGTCATTATATTGAGAAAGTTTCTCATAATAATGAGTCATAGGATCGTTTTTTTCCCCATCACATTGGCGAGAACGGGCTTCCATAGCTAACGGTGGGAGACTGGTGGACCCGCCCACATTATGAAACGTCATCACGTATGCGCCATTACGTTGATCGTTCTAGCAAGCAGCGATCCCCGTCAGTTTCCTGACTTGTGCAGGTAAGGTAACATTACTGCAAATCTTCTATAATGTAACATTATTTTTTAGTGACTGTATTCATTCAGCCGTGTCCTTTTTTGGGGGGTGAACTTGCTTCACCTTACAGTGACGTTTCGTTCACCTGCGGTAAAGAGGCTCATAGTAACACCAAGTCAGCATATGTAGGATAGCACAGTTGTGATACTATGTAACGTTATGTCGTATGTTATAGTATTAGGTTAAATGCTTGAAACATATTTAGTAACGTTAATGTTACGTGATTAACTTCAGAGAAACCACATATTGACATTAGATATTAATTTGGGAAAGCTGTAACTTTATTGACATGGCTACATTATACATGAAGTTACTCTATGTAATTACAGTGAGTGGAGCTGTCTTAACAGCAGTGACAGCAGCTCATTGTCTTGTTTTTAATGCATTAATCTGCTGTGTATTGGCTTAGGACTGCAACTTACAATTACCTTGATTATAGATTAATTGTTTAAACCATGAACCTTAAGAAAATTTTAGTAATGCCCATTATAATATCCCAGAGCACAAGGTGAGGTCTTTAACCTGCTTATTTTGTTCAACCAACCGTCCAAACCCCCAAATATACAATTTTAAATTATTTAAATCGGAGGAAAGCAGCAAGTACTCACATTTGAGGAGCTGGAAACACTGAGTGTTTGTACTTAATTGATTGATTGATACAATAGATGTTATGTTGATTGAGTAATTAATTAATCAACTATTTGTTTCAGCAATAGGTTATGTGAACCTGTCCTCTGTGACAGTGCATAACTGAATAGTTGCAGTCATCTGACTCCGTATTGCTGACTCTTTTACATGAACTAGGCCACATCTGTAATGTTTAACTCCTTAACCTAACTTTAGGGGCAGTTAGATGATAAGGCCACCATGGTGCTGAACCCTGTCATTTCCAAGCTTTCTGGTAAACTGGTCGTGCTGGCAAGTGCTTCTCCTAGGAGACTGGAGATTCTCCGCAATGTGGTATGTTACCCTCTGGTTAAACTCAAGGAACTGTATGTATATCACAACAACTCTACATTTAGTTTGATTGTAAACGCATACAATTAGACATATTAATCTGGACAAGTTTGCACAGGGATTCTCTTTTCAAACATCTTGACTTTTTTTTATACAAACTAATACAACAAAAACAAATTTGGGTCTTGTAAATCTTCCATGATCCAATCAGAATATCGGCCCATGTGCAGTCCTAACAAAACTGTTGAGAAACCTTGGGCTAAAATGAAAATGCATCACATCTCTTATTTTGTCACTATTGGTGTCAGTGATAATGAATATAATGATAATGAGTATTTATTTTATAACTAGACGATAAATCAGCCAGACTGATATATTCGTCAATTTTAGCTTAGCAGAGATATATCTGTATCAATGTACACATTGGTTGAATGTAACAAGAAACTGCAGTACAGAAAATGTGTATGAGGTTATTTAGAAACAGTATACATCACCAGAGAGCACTGACAAGTTTATTTTTCAGCTGTAAAACATCCTACGCAGTATATATTTTGGTCAGTTATTTTAAAAAAGAAGTATATGTGGTTTGAAGTATAACTTTTTACATTTCAGGGCTTTCAGTTTGAGGTTGTACCATCCTGGTTCAAAGAAACTCTTGACAAGGGACTTTTCAAAGCACCTCACGAGTATGCTGTTGAAACAGCCAAACAGAAGGCCCTGGAGGTGGCCAGGAGGATGCCCTTTGTGAGTTAAGCTTCTTTGTGTATGACAATATACAGTGTATATTACCTTGTTGAATTTATATAATATTGTATATGCATTTGCTTTAGAATCACCTGAAGACTCCAGACATAGTAATCGGAGCAGACACTATAGTGGTAAGAGAAAGAAAGCCTTACAGTGTTTTATCTGCTTACTTTCTGCAGTATGAGTTTTTTTTAGGGCGGGTCACTCTGGTCATTGTTTTTCAATTCTTTAGACTGTAGATGGCATGATTCTGGAGAAGCCAGCAGACAAACGTGATGCTTACAGGATGCTGTCAAGGTCAGTGTCATTTACATTACTTTTAGAGTTAACAGAAACCGCAAACCAAAGACCAGATCTTGTTTAGTTTCTCTTCTTCATTTTTCTGTTTCAGCTTGAGTGGTAAAGAGCACAGTGTCTTCACTGGTGTAGCTATTGTCCTCTGCCATGAGAAAGAAAGTAAGTCACAAGTGAAAATGGTGAGACTTATGGTTTATTTTCTGAAGGGATTTGATGAAGCAAAGTAGTTAGAACAGTTGAGCCCATTTAGGTACTTTTTAATTTTTTAAATTTCTTATAAGTAAGGAAGAATATCTGTGAGGGAAAACAAAGTAATGGAGGATTCTATACCAGTTTCCTAAATGGATATAGGAGGAATTTACTGGCCAAATGTAGTGTTTCCATCAGTGGACATATTTCATTTCTAAACCTCCGTGCCTCTCAGATGAAGAAGTGGATTACCAGTTAATTGACTTCTACGAAGAAACAAAGGTGAAGTTTGCTGATCTCTCAGAAGAAATGCTGTGGGAGTACATCAATAGTGGTGAACCCATGTGAGTATGAATGCTTGAACTGTCACATGTGCACATATGTAATAGCTATTGATTTCTCTTGGTGTAACTTAACCAAGCATTTGATCAATGGAGGTCATTCAAGTGGATGTTCGCCACATGAACCTGTTGATTTTTGGACTTTGATGCCCGAGTTTTGTTCCAGCTGTGTTTGCCATGTCCTATTGCACAGGGATTGTGTCAGCAAAAAAATCTAATCTTGTACTGGGTCAGATGAGGTGTATTGTTTAATTTGTTCTCCATTTGAAGAGTGTACTATTAAACATACAGCCCCTTTGTGTATGTGTGCACATGTTTTTGTATTAAGAGTGTATGTTGCTGTGTAATTGAAATGTTTGTGTCTGTGTGTGTCAGGGACAAGGCTGGCGGCTATGGTATTCAGGCTCTCGGTGGCATGCTAGTGGAATATGTCCATGGAGACTTTCTCAATGTTGTGGGTTTCCCCCTTAACCACTTCTGCAAGCAGCTGGACATTATTTACAACCGTTGTACTTCCTCCTTGGACCAGGAAAGTCTGCCTGGCTGCCTGAGCCACAACGGCACTCACACCACCTCAATACTCACTCAGCCTCCACCCAACCCACCAGCTCTGTCTCGCCACAGTCCCAATTCTTCAGCCAAGCACAACCCCTCACCCTGCCCTTCTGCCAGTCCCGTCCCTAAGGTAATTTTTTCTCACCCTGTGAGAGAAATCTGTGACCTGTTGTTGATATTATTAAGTAACAGTCTCCCTTTTATAGGTGAAAAAGAACAACAGTGAAAGTTCATGGACGCTGGTCAACAGCCTGTCTAAACATACAGATGATAGAGAGGCTGAGTTCCAACACTCTGAGAATACAACATTATCACTGATGACCAGTAGAGGGCAGGTGACTGAGTTCAATGTGACGGAGAAGGAGGATAGTGAACTCCCAGTAAAAAAAGAAGACTTGCAGCAAATCATTGAATTGATGGATGGATTCAAAGCCTCAAAGGTTAAAGATCAACTGTATATTCCTATACTGTTAAAGCTCAATGTGATGCTTTTCATTTAATAATTGACATTGCTGTAGTTGACTTTGTGAGGATGTAATGAAGCGTTTAGCTCAACTTAAAGGAATAGTCTGGCATTTTGGGAAATACTCTCGTTTGCTTTCTTGCTGAGAGAGGGAAGACTGCCACCACTCTCATATATGTACATTAAATGTGGAGCTAGAGCCAGGAGAAGTTAACCCAGCAGAGAACAAAGATTGAAAGCGTAGGGAAATGGCTTGTCTGGCTCCCAAAGTTGATCACCTCTACCAGCACCTCTAAAGCTCATTAATTAAAATGTTATATGTTGTTTATTATATCTGTACAAAAACCAAATTGGAAAAAAACAAGTTGTGTTTTTTTTACAGGGGGTTATATGTGGGATTAAATCTGTGGGGGCAGTAACCTCTTGGAAACTATGCTGATTTTCTAGAAACTACACAAGACTTCAGAGAGGAGGATATAATGTGTTAATTCGTGACCTTTACAGGTGCTGGTTTATATTTAACAGAGAGGATGGTGCTGATCTTCTCATTTAATTCTCAAGACGAGAAAGTGAATTAGCGTATTTTCCAGAATGTTACATTTATTCTTTAGGATTCTGAAAAATTGCCTATTTGGATCTGTAATGTACTCGATAGTATGCTGGTATCGATCTGCAGTGGAACACATGCATTTGTAGATTTTATTGAACAGAAATGAAAAAAATGATGTCACCATTTGGTATGTGTTTCTTGATCTACTCAATCTGCAAGCACCAGGCAATCTAGAATCACATACCAAATTCACATAAATAAAATAATAAAAATAAAACTTTGCTTCTTGATCAATTCTGCTTTTCCCAAAATGTTCCAGGTACTCTTCACTGCATCCAAGTTGTGTGTGTTCGATGTGCTACAAAGCAGGCCAGGACTGGATGCAGAGCGGGTAGCTCAGGAGATTAAAGCCTCTGTGAAGGGGACTGAATGCCTGCTGGAAGCCTGTGTGTCTCTGGGACTGTTGAAGAGCAAAGCGAGAAGTTAGTCAGCATTTATCTGTGTTGATCATTACATGATGATCCCTATTACATGATGATTTTAATACCTTAAAGTGATAGCATTTAATACTTGACTTAAAATGAACCACGTTTTATGGTGTTTCTACTCCCAGCATGCCAGAAGCCAGTGTACGAGAACGCAGCTCTTGCCACTCGTTTTCTGCTGTCAGATGCTCCTTTTTCGCTGCAGGGCTACATCAAGCATTGTAACGACACAGTGTGGTCTCTCTTTTCTCACCTTGAGAGTGCTGTGCAGGAAGGAACCAACCAGCACGAAAAGGCTTTTGGCAAGAAATCTAAGGATATGTTTCAGGTGATTATCTCCAAGTTCAGCCTCAGATCGATAAAATAGAGGGGGAATTCTCTGTCAACTTTTTTCGTTCCTCTAAGTCATTTGTTTCTATTTAAAGGATACTTTCTACAACAGTCAAGAAGTGAAACTGAGATTCATGAGTGCCATGCACAGCATTGCTAAAGTTACAGGAAAAGCTGTAGCAACAGCCTTTGACCTCTCTAGTTTTAAAACTGCCTGCGACCTTGGAGGTAAGGACAGAACTTACAGGTTTAAATTATGTCCTTAAGTAATAAACCATTCTTTCACGTATAATCTTTTTGATTTTTCCCCCCAGGATGCACTGGGGCCATGGCCTATGAGTTTACGAAAGCCCACCCTGGGTTATCTGTGACAGTATTTGATTTGCCAGCTGTTGTTGAGATGAGTGAACATTTCCATCCTCTGCACGCAGACAACAGGGTATCATTTGTTGCAGGTCAGTTTGTGTATGTGCATCAAAAAACAGTCCTGACAGTCGATTTTTAATGCCACGATTTTTAATGCCACAAAGCAGGCTAATGCAGTGTAATTAGCTTATTTTGTGGGTCTTTCATATCAAAATAAAAAATCACTCACTCTGTGACTATAACCCATGGCTTTCTCCTTTCTGCACGAAAAGGAGACTTCTTTAAAGATGAGCTGCCCAAAGCAGACTTGTACATCCTGGCGAGAATTCTCCATGACTGGCCTGATGAGAGAGTGCATATTCTGCTGAGTAAAATCGCAGATGTGTGCACACCAGGTAAAGGCCATTTCAGTCTTTTCACCTTTTAAACTACATATGTTGAACAATGAACATAATTCAAATATATTCTTCACATATGTTTAGTATAATGATCTGACTGAAAGTAGATGGCAAAAGTCTGTTTTTCCTTTTCAACTGATTTCAGCATTCTGGTAAAATCACTGCTTTTTAGTTTCATTGAAACCTGTTTAAGAACTGCAGCTGTAACCGGTTTTTCAGTATTAAGTAAAACCACACTTTGCAAGAAGCTGACAAATTCAATGCCAAAATAGCGACTTGATGCTAGTTTTTTTCCTCCTTGTTCTTCTTGATCTTTGCCTAAAGCAAAGGAATGCAAGGGGATAAGGGATTACAAAATCACCACTATTGTGTTCTAAAGTTTTACATCTGCATACATATCATGCCCTTGAACCATTGTGCCAGGCTGCGGACTTCTGCTAAGTGAGATCTTCCTGAATGAAGACAGAAGTGGCCCAAGTCGTGGGTTGCTCCAAGCCCTCAGCATGAGCGCGGGGAAACAGAGGAGCACTACAGAATACAGTCTGCTTTTGAAGAGCCATGGTTTCATAACAGCCCATGTCAGACATACAGACAACCTCCTGGATGCTATGCTCTGCATCAAAGCGTGACTGACACCCTCAGCAACACTATATGGATGTTCTTGTGATACATACTGTAGGTAACCTTTGCTAAAATCAAGGACTACAGTCAGGAATGTTTTGATGATAAAGTGTGAGTTCGTAAGGCAGCCTCTGTGAACCAATAAAAAGTGTCTTTGTTTTAACATTTTGGTGTTGTGTGAAGACAGCTTAAGTGGAAATATATATTTGAGGTATTACACAAGAGGATATTGTTATAATTTTCCTATAAATTAAGGTCTTGAACAATCTCTTTTGTTGGCTCCTAGGATGTGCAGTGCTCATAGCTGAAACCATGTTGGATGGACAGACACCCTACTCAGCTCTGCAGTCTTTAAACATGCTTGCCCAGACAGAGAGCCAGTATGCAGACTTGCTGAGCAAGCATGGATTTGGGGACACACGGGTGGTTCACACTTTGAACTTCCTTGATGCTTTTTTGGCCATTAAAAAGTAATGTGAATCATGCACGCAAGTAACCATGTTTTGCATTCTTTTGATTACAAATGACAGTCATTGTTCAGTTTTTTTCCTTTTGATCAGTGGTGTAAAAAAAAAAAGTAAAAGAAGTAGTACCACAATAGATAATACAGAATGTTTAAGTAAGCATTTAATACAATCCAAACACACCTCTTAGTAAGGAATTTTGTGTCCACTTTAACCTTGATCCGGGTATAATAAAATGGGTACTGAATTTTTTAACATTTAGGCCCCAGTCAGTCAGCGTTAATGGCGTTCTGTCTCAGAAGCAATTGTCATCCACAGGCTCATCCCAGGGGTGTGTCCTGTCCCCATATACAAATGACTGTAGGACTCACCACAATAACAGGTTGCTTTTGAAGTTCGCGGATGACACAGTTCTAGTCAGTCTGCTCCAGAATGGAGAGGTCAACCATGGGCCTGTTTTGAATGACTTTGTTGATTGGTGTGACCACCACTTCTTTAACTTGAAGTTAAATGTCCTTAAAACTAAAAACATGGTCATAGACTTCAGAAAAACTCCCCACTCAAACTCTCCGATAATCAAGGGCTCACCTATTGAGACAGTGGAGTGTTACAAGTACAGGAACAGTTATTGACAAAAACTTGAACTTTGACCTTAACAGTTCTGCTGTCTGCAAGAAGGGTCTTCAGAGGTTTCATTTTCTGCCCAGACTGAATACTTTTAATGTGGACAAAACTTTGATGACTATTTTATAAATCTTTTATTGAATCAATTTTAACTTTTTGTTGCATAGCTTGGTATGGGAATCTTACGGTGCAAAGTAAAAATAAACTGTCTAACATTGTTAAGGTAGCCAGCAAAATAATTGGAACTAAACAACTTTCCTTGGCAGACATCTATAAAAGACAAGTTATACTTAAGGCTCAGACTATTACAGCCAGCTCTGACCACCCTCTCTTGGAGGAATTTGTTCTTCTGCCTCTGGGCGAAGATACAGATTGCCCATAATAAAAACGAACAGATACAAATTTTCCATTGCACCCACGGCAATTAATGCCCTAAATTTGCACTGAGCTTGAGCTGCTGTTCAGAATGATAGATTGTTGAGGCTACCATTTCAACTTATTGAGTACTTTTAGACGAAAAAGAGAGGTTGTATATAACGGCTGTTCTTATCTTTATTTATGCCTCATGTATGTTTGTTTTAACCCTATTGCAAATCAAATTTCCCCTGGTGGGACAATAAAGCGGTAGTAGTCAGAATGCAGGACGGCTCCTTTTCAGAGTGTCAGAAAATGATGTACATTAAATAATTATCACCGATAAATTAAGGTGTAAGCTGAAATTTAATGTATAGGTAAAGGTGGATCTAATCTGACTATTTTATATACACTATTAACTTATTATAGATGTTGAATTATGACAGATGTATTCTTTTTTTTTATTATCCGGTATACCACAGCAACAAACAAACTTAAAATAACTGAATTTATGTGTTAGTCACCCATTGGTACTACAGTACCGTTTATATCATAAGTGCATACCTTCCACTTGTTGCAGGAAGGATACACATCACACTGGTGTTCAGTGTAACTGTGCACAACTTTGACATGAGTAACAACAAGTAACAAGTAGCAATTTGAACCTTGAACACTATTGTACACTGAGTGAGATAGCCTGCTAAGTGTACACAAAAGCCATCCAACGTCACTGGTATCCTGCATGTGATGCAGCTACTGACTCGATATCCTTTGTATGCTGATGTACAACAATGAAAAATGATGCATTAAAAAAGTAAAGTTTGTTTACCAGTAAAATGATACCAGGCTCATTGTGATACTTATAGATGGTGAAATAAGAGCTGTGCTTGGCTTGTTCCTGAGCAGTGAAAAGGCATCATCCCAAAAGCAAAAATTATCCTTGTGGTAATTATCTATATATATATATATATTTCTCGCATGCTTCATCACTCAAGCACTCATATCTGGGATTAGATAAGCAGACAAAGTTGAGACAGTTCTCTTGTAACTTGCATTCTGGTGCTGCTGCTGGAGTTACATCCCTGGATCTCTGCAACCCATTGGATATTTAATGTGGACATGTGTTCAGGTCAAATCGGATGTGAAGCCTGTACCAATCTAGGGCTTCTTTGTTTCAGTGTCGGGGGGCTGATCATTTACAATACAGGGCTGCCTATACTTGTCTGATACAGTTCAAAGTAAAAAAAAACAAAATCTGATTTTTTTTGGGTGTGTGCGATCAGCTGGATGACAGCCGTGGCTGGAGGGAGCACCCTGCCTCTTAAACACTCTGAAGTGTCATATTTTAATGATGCAATCTGGATGCAATGGGAGAAAGATGATTAAAGAAGAAATAATAAAATCTAAGCAGCGTTATTATCGCCTAAGTAGGATGTAATTTTTGTACAATAATGTTTTGTGTCTCCCCAGCAGACATGGCTTCATGTTTACCTCAACTTTATTGGAGGCTGGAGGAAGATTGCCAGCGACAAAGGGGGCAAAGCATATTGCAATGGGGCCCTCTCAAGCATACTCCAAGACATGGGTGGAGCATTTGTCTTGGTCTTGTATAATGGGGTTTGTTTCCAAGTTGACCCTCTTTTTTTACAAACTGGTACAACCCACATAACCCTTTAAGCGTTATAGAGCTTTAACCTAGCAATTTTGCGTGAAGTTTGCGTCACACTAACCCACAGACAAATCCATCAAAGCACTATTTAAACACATCATATATTATTGCCCCATATGGTCTTTCTGACCATAATTGCCCTTTTTGCAAAGAATGATCAAACTCTCACTACTTATCCTCTGACATTAATCAATCCCAACTTCAAGCTGTAGAGAAGAAACTTTGCATGTTACTATTTTACTTTCAGTAGATGCAGCTCGCTTCCTAAGTGATATTTGATACGCTGGAATTTTAACCCACATATTTGTTTTGCAGCTATTTCACAGTTTTAGTTCCCTATTACAGTATGTCAGTAAACCTCCTCAAGATGGCATCACAAACCTGCAGATCTCCTCAGAAAACTTGGTGAGACACACAGAGTTCCGTGTTTTGTTAAACTGTTTAATTCTTTCCAGTGGCAGCTAGATGTGTGCTGTAGAGATCTGTTGAACATTAAGTGACTGCAAGATATCAAAATTAAGATTTATGTTGCAAAGTTTGGGAATATATTTGTGCTTTATGCATTTGGTTGGGTAGGATAGTCTTTTAAGCACAATAAACAATCCCATAATGTCTAACAGATATTCCTCATGGATTGCAGTTTCGAGTCAGTGGGTAAAGCGGCCAAACAGCTGATGGGAATGTGGGAATATCTCTGGCCAGGATAAAATGCTCTTATTCTTTGTGACACTCAAGTGTATCCGGATTATTCTTCATTTTGGATCCCTCACTAAGTATTTTTCTTGAAGTGTAATAAGGGTGGTCATGTTATTAATGGCTATTTTCTTGTCAGTCTGGGCTCAGGCTCTTTGTGACATCTAACTGATTTCCATTACTCAGATTTTGTTCATTCGATGAGCAGAGACAGGGGAGGGTGGACTGAAGTTCAAATATGATGCAGAGAGTAAATCGTTTAAGGTTTTTTTTATTGTGAACACACAGTGAATGCAACAAAACACCATATATTGCAATACTTTCCTGCCACTGCTGCAGTGATTGTGAAAGCCTGAATTGATTCAATAAATTCAATACTTCATACACATTGCATTACTGATCTGTAGACAGCTAAGTGACACCAAATGGTTTTGTAGTAGGAGAATGCTGAGTCCTGTATTCCCTTAAAACATGAAGAGAAGGAGCATGAAGCATTTCCATAAAAGGATTTACATATCCGTTCATTTCCAGTGTCCCATCTGCACCCGCTCACCCCCTCTTGTGTAAGAGCATCAACAGCAAAGCCTCTGCGAGGCTTTCTAATGAAAACCATTCAAGTCAATCAAGTTTACCAGAGACCAAAGGCTAGTGTAATTTGGGAAAATTGCTGAAACTCCAAAGTAATCTTCTGTAATGTGATCTTGCCTATTGAACACTGGCTGTACTGTACGTGTCGGATAAGAGCTCAGTCATTTTCTTCAAATGCAGTCTTGACAAGCAGCATGGATATCCACCTGCAAGTAATCATCATTCTAGTGTTAAGTGCTTTGATATTAAAATGACTGATTTAAGACCATTTGCTGCTAGTAGATAGCGATTTGAAAACACTTCCATATGTTGATAAAGAGGATAAGCTGGGTTTGTGAACCGGGTGGACTGCATGTTGTGTTCACTGTTGTAGAACAGCCAATGAAAACACTTCAGGGTTAAGTCATAACTTTAGTTTTTCATTGTTTCAGTTGAGAAAGCAGACTATACATTTAACAAGAGTGAAGTAATCAAAGCCTGTTAAATAATAATGAGTGGAAAGTTTCATAGGATTTAGTATGTGAATTGCCTTGTAGTGTAAACTTGTGCTTCAGTGAAGTTTTATGCTAGTTCTAGTGTACCCACTTGGTGGCGACGTTGGCTAAAGTAAAGCTCCATACAGAGCCTGATTTGATCAGTTATATTGTTTGTTTACACTCTTATCAAAGTGACAGGAGAGGAAAGACAATTTCAGTTGCTGAGATATTTGAAATTTTACAAATATCCATGTCAAACTTTTGTGTTAGGTGGATTTTAGTTGAAAAATAAATCATTGTACCATTTGTTTAAAAGCACCTCTATGACTTGGGGAAGGATACACATATTCCAAATGGTTGCATGCAAAATAACAAACACTCTCTAATCAGTCAGTTTTCTGAATTGCCTCTCAATACTGAACTCATGCTTGGGCACCTGTTTCAAAGAACAGACTTGTTTATCAAAGGCCTCCTCTGTCAACAAACAGAATAAGTGCGATGATGGCTGGCTCCTCAACCCACATCTGATTTCAGCAAATGTGCAGTTGTTCAAAGTGAGTCGTGCTTCATTGATTTGTTTCAAGGCAGAGGAAAAATAACCTCAGGGCTTCTACCAGTTAGAAATAACAATGGAGTCCTTCTCTGCTGTTTGTAGTTTTTTTTGGCCTGACATCAGTAGTAAAACATGGAGGGATTTTCACTGCAGATTTAACTGCTGGCTGGGACTGTGTAAAAGAGTAGGTTACTTTTCATTGGAGATATGGTATAACAGATCAGTGAATTATATAGCAGAGATTTTAAATTGATTCATGTCTGCTTTTCTTTTTGGTGCCACATAATTTAAACATTTCTGGATTTGTTTGACTTTTTGTTCTGGGATATATACTTAATTTTAGACTTAGAGGAGAAGATTGATTCCATTCTCTCACTGTAAGTGTTCCAATCAGGAGTTAGCTTAGCTTAGCTTGGTTTTGCATAAAGCATTGAAGCAAGGGGAAACAGCTAGCATAGCTCTAATCAAAGTTTGCCTGCTTGTCAGGTACATGTTGGAACTATTTTCCGTTATTTGCCTGGCAACTTACAGCATGTTATCTGTAAAATAAACTACAACTTGTGTTTTTTACATTTCTGTTTGGGTATGGGTTAATTAATTAGCTTTAGAGGTGTTGGTAGGTGTAATTTTGAACTTTGGCCAGAGCCAGGCTACCTGTTTCCCCCCCCTTTCCTGTCTTTTGCTAAGCTAAGCTAATGGCCTTTGTGCATAAACATGGGAGTGGTATCAATCTTCTCATCTAACTTTTTGCAAAGAAGCAAATAAATGTATTTTCCAAAATGTCAAACTATTTTTTTAAAAGGAGAAAGAAAAAAAACATATTTGAGTAAACGATTGGACTGTGTTATCTATCTGATCAGTCGTAACTCCCAACTTTTACCAGCAGGAATATGTAAACATCAGCAGTGAAAGCGAACACACCACCACTCAACTCACAATCAGAACCCAGTTGGCCCCCACTAAAAGCCAACAACAATCTCATTAACATATGGAAATATTTGTTGCGGTCAAATAGGAGAAACTGTCTCCCCTTCCTGTCTCCATGTGATGTGGGAGGTGTCACTCAGAGATACAGTAGGGGAGGAGACTCTCCATGCTGAAATGGTTGGTGACAGGGCTTTCATCCGACCCACTGAGGGCTCTTTGTTGTTATTTTGGGATCTCTCATGGGTGCAATCTGAGAGAGCAGCAGACAGACGGGTCTCATCTCTGAACAAGCACACATACACACACACACAGGCAGAAATTCACAGGCACCAAAAAAATTTTATGACATGCTCACTATCATGTCAATCAAATTGGCTGATGCTATGTGTGCATATGGATCCATTAAATCCATTAATTCTCAGTAATTAAGACATGAGTAGAATAATTCAATACAGAAGAATTATTTGTTTCACGTGCTGTGATATAATTTGTATAGAAGCCCATTTCCACTAAGAAAAGAAAACAAAAGGGCTAGATGAAAATTTATTCAAGATAAAAATAAAAATAATCACAGTTACAACAAAGTGACAAGAACTTAAGTCCAAATTTTGTCTTACTAATTTTAAAACAATGTGGTGGTGAAGTCTAAATCATGCAAAAATAAGTCAGCATTTTTATCTACTACCTCATTGGTTTAATGTAGTGAGAATTAGTTAATAAAAATGTGACTTTTCTCATAAGGTTTCTCACAATTTTGATAATTGAGCTATTATGAGCATTTTAACTTTCATCATGTTTAACTTTTAATATTTTTTAATATTCAATGTGTAAATGGAGTGGAATAGGAGTTTTGGGGATCCTTGTGTAGTTTTTATCATTTGCATTAGTTAAAGTCTCTCATTTAAAGACTTAAATGAGAACCAAGGTGTGTTAT